TTGCGGATCACCTCGGGGCGAGCGTCCAGCCCTCGGTGCAGCTGGCTCAGGTCATAGTCCTGGGGGAACATGAGACAAGGCTCAAGGGATGACCATGGATCCCACCACGGGGACTCAGCAGGCAGGGTCCATCTAGCACAGCCATCCCACCTGGTCCTCCTCGCCACCACCCTCCTCATCGTAATGGTAGACATTGTCCCTCATGTCATCTTCAGGTGGGAGCAGTGGCTCCTTCACCACCTTCCTCCTCCTCACAAAGAGCAGCAGCAGTAGCAGCAGGACTGCAGGCAGAGGGACAGGACAATAGGGCAGTTAGGAGAGCACAGCTCCATCCTGTCCCTGTCCATCCCCATCCCATCCATCCTGACCCACGGTACTCACTGAGCAGCGCCAGGATGCCTCCTAGGATGCCCAGGATGGCCGGGACTCCCATGCCGCCGGAGATGAACGCTCGCCGCTCGCAGTTCTTGGCTGGCCCCTCGCAGCTGCACACCTGGGCTTTCACCTGTGTGGTCTGGTCCTTGCCCATGGCGTCCCACAGCTTCAGGAAGATGCTGTACTCCCCTGGCTCCAGCTCCTTCCTCAACTTCAGCTTCACCATGTCTTGGAGAATCAGAGAATTGTTTGGGTTGGAAAAAGCCTCCAAGATTACTGAGTCCAACCATTCCCCCAGCAGGGCCAAGGTCATCACTAATCATGTCGCCAGGTGCAACATCCACATGGCTTTTAAATCCACCAGGGCCATGTCCCCGGGTGCAATATCCACATGGCTTTTAAATCCACCAGGGATGGTGACTCCACCACTGCCCTGGGCAGCCTGTTCTGATGTCTGACCACCCTTTCCATGAAAGAATTTTCCCCAATATCCAATCTAAACCTTCCCCTGGCATAGCTTGAGGCTGTTTCCTCTCAGCCTGTCCCTTGTTCTCTGGGTGCAAAGCCTGACCCCACCTGGCTGCACATCCTGTCAGGGAGTTGTAGTGTGTTTCCCGAGACTCCTTTTCTCCAGCCTGAGTCCCTGCAGTCCCTCAGCCACTCCTGATCACACTTGTGCCCCAGTTCCTTCCCCAGCTCCGGTTTGGGGACACCTTTCGCCCCAGCACAGGACTTTCCCCCATGGCAGTTCCCCAGCCTGGTGCCCACCACAGAGCTCAGCACCAGAGCAGGTGGCCCCCACCTGGATCATCCACAGTGACGGTCCAGTTGATACTGGACCCGTGGGGCAGCTCTGCCTTGAAGGGGTAGGTGTTGGGGGGCAGGTCCTTGTCGATGATGTACAATGTCTGCTCCTCAGGCTGTCTGTTGCAGATGTCAAAGCTCCGTGGCTCTGGCACAGGACCATTGTCATTCACATCCTGAAGAAGGAGGATCAGTGTCCCTGACCCAGTGGTAGCAGGCGACCCTGTGGGAGTGAGAGTCAGTGATGCACCCAGGGAGGGATC